AGTAACCTGAACTCTAACCCTAAATGCAGCACTAACCCTTAACTCTAACGTGAACCCCATTTCTTGTCACTAACCCTAACCTTATCCCTAGAACTGGCTTTTTTAGGGGTAGACCTATTAGGGTAAAATGTTCTTTAGGTCTCTAGAAAACAGGTAATCAAAACTGAGAAATGAATTTCAGATTAAATGAGTAATTTACGAACAGATCATCAGTGGACCATCTTCAACAGCATTTCATGGTCAGGTAGCCTGATCTTTCTGATAAAGATACCCAAGGTGTGGATATTGTTCCCGGATGTCTACAGGACATCCTTGCCTCTGTTCTCTGATGTCACTAAATGTACTTAATAAGGGTCATTGTGAAAATTCAGTGAAAGTCTCTGGAGAGACAAGATCCAAATTGAGAGTACATTTCCGTAGACTCACAAAGGCGTATGCTAACCTTGATCCCAGTCTTCTAGGACTCCCCAAAGTGTAAGACTTTCCTACTCCAGAAGACCTGCAGAAGCCTGGGCTCTTCCCTTTGTATCTAAATTCCACTGTGACCCGAATCCAGCTAGAACTCATGTGGATTAGACGAGCAGTCTTTAAGACAGCGTGCTGTGTTAGGCTCTGAGGGTTATGGAAGTGAGGTAAGGTACTGCCTTGCATTCAGAGACTTCACAGCCAAGTTGAGGGAAAATGATTACCGTACATGAAACAACGAGAGAGTCTGATGGGACAGGACGTAATTCAGTGCTACACTGCGTGGTGCAGACCTGGATGCTGAACTGGCCCAACGCATGGACGGTATTGCCTCACATTTGCCTAGCACTCTGCTGCTACCAGACCTTTGTGACGCACATTCCGTCCTTCCTAGGGTTCTGGGAGGTTGACAAAGGGCAAGTATTAGTATAATCATTTATCTTTGCATATGCAAAAATGACTCAGAAAAGTTAACTGTTTCTTCCCAGATCCCCCAGCAGAGCTTTGACCTCAAGTCAGCCAACTTCAAATCCAATGGGAAGCTCACTCTATTTCATGGAGTAAATGAGACTTGAGCTGGGCCTTAGAGGCCTGAGTAAAATTTGAAGAGATGAGGGGAAATGAGAGTATTCTGCTTGGGGTAAAGAGTATAAGGAGAAGGCAGGGAGCCAGGAATGGGAGGGTGAGCAGATGAGGGGCGGGGCCAGTGGATGAGGTAAGACTGGAAGGGAAAATGGGGCTTTGAGAGCCAGGCAGGGGTTCATGTTTCATGTAGGGTTTCACTACCTACATGAGGAGTCAGTGAAGCTTTGAACTGGCTTAGTGGCTTAAAGAAAGACCCATCTGATACTGGTGTGCGGGGAGGTTTAGAACAAGGGGGGTCCAGAGACAAGAAACCCATTTAGGTGGCTTTGGGGTGTGGCTACAAGGACAGGCCTGGAACCGGGTGGCAAGAGCTGGTATAAAATAAAAATAAATGGGTTTGAGAAAAGGCAGTTCAAAAGGACAGACTTAGTGTTTGATTGAGCATGAAAGATGGAGAAAGTGAAAAAAATCAAAGACTCTAAATTTCAAATAACCAGTTACGTGGCTTCAGGGAAGTGATAGAATCTCTCTGGGCCCCTCAACGGAAGGAAATGCAAGTGCAACCCCTCACCTCACAGGGGACTGAGGCTTGTATGTACATAGAAGGACTGGATTAATTGGTTGTTTTGAGAAAGAGGGGCAATTTTATTTATTTATTTTAAAAGATTGCTTTTATTTATTTATTTATTTTTGGCTGCGTTGGGGTCTTCGTTGCTGCGTGCGGGCTTTCTCTAATTGCGGCAAGCTGGGGCTACTCTTCGTTGTGGTGCGCGGGCTTCTCATTGCAGTGGCTTCTCTTGTTGCGGAGCACGGGCTCTAGGAGCGCGGGTTCAGTAGTTGTGGCTCACGGGCTCAGTAGTTGTGGCTCGCGGGCTCTAGAGTGCACACTCAGTAGTTGTGGCGCACGGGCTTAGTTGTTCCGTGGCATGTGGGATCTTCCCGGACAAGGGCTCGAACCCATGTCCCCTGCATTGGCAGGTGGATTCTTAACCACTGCGCCACCAGGGAAGTCCCGAGGGGCAACTTTAAAATGTCTAGAGAGACATTCTCAACGACATTATTTAAAATAAGGAAAAATTGGTAAATGTCTAAGTGCCTCCCATGGGGGGAGAAGTAAATACATTATGAGTATTGTATAGAAATTAAAACCACATTTAAATAACATGGGGACATAAGTATTCAAAATATAAAAGTAGGTGGAGGAAAGAGGGCATAATACTATCTGAATATTATGAAGAATAAATACATGTAGAAAAAAAGGACTGGGAGAGTGATTGTCTCTTGTTGATGGTAATGTGGCTGATTTGTATTATCAAGTTTTGTACTTTGGATTTTTCCAAATTTTGTGCAATGAGCCTTATCACTTTTATAATGAGAAAAAAATATTTCGGAAAAAAGAATAAGAAATGAGTTCAACTACTACTGAAACTGTGCAACTCAGATTGGGACTTCAACCCATGGTCTTTTAAATAAGATCACACACCTGGTCTCAGGACTTAATGAAACTCCTTGCAGAAAGAATTCAGTGAGAGACAAAGTGATAGGTAAGAAGTGGATTTATTTAGAGAGAAACACACTCCACAGACAGAGTGTGGGCCATCTCAGAAGGTGAGAGGCCCCAAAATATGGGGTGGTTAGTATTTATGGACTGGGTAATTTCATAAGCTAATGAGTGGGAGAATTATTCCAACTATTTTGGGGAAGAAGTGGAGATCTCCAGGAATTGGGCCACTGCCCACTTTTTGATCTTTCATGGTCGGCCTTGGAAGTGTCATGGCACTGGCGGGCGTGTCACTTAGCTTGTGCTAATGTATTACAATGATGCTAACGTATGAGGCTCAAGGTCCACTGGAAGTCAAATCTTCCACCATCTTGGACCTAGTTGGTTCTAACCAGTTTTTATCTTGTCCTATGGATATGTCATTCTTTTAAAGGTTGTACCCTGCCCCATTCCCTCCTGTTTCACTACTGTTTAAAATCTTTAGATATGTTGTCTCCCTTATAACTGTTTCAAAAGAAAATAGCATATAATAGGTAGAGAGGTGGCATCCTTCTCTATCTGAGTTAAAAAATATCAGTGGAGTGGAATAGATCCTGAGACATGACAGAGAGGGAGAGGTGACCTTCATAGGAAAAAGGGAATAGGGCTGAAGAAAATAAAATACAGCAAAGATAGAGCAGAGATACATGCCTTCACAGACAGGAAATCAGAGTTCTTCCCTGTAAAGTAGTCTGACCTTTGGAAGCTGTTTACAACTCAGATAAATACAAAAGCAACTTTGGAAGTAGATAAGGATGCAGTTAAGTCACAATTGCAAACAATGCTTCATTGTACAGTATTTTATTAGGTTTGCTAACCTCCAGGAAACCTCTGCCAGGATTCCTCTTGGTTTTCCACCAGGGCTGCAAAATGTTTTCAGTGAACCTGCATTCAGGCATAAATGAAAACTGACCATCCAGTGACATCATGAAACATTTATGTGTTGAGAATTTTTTATGAATTTACATGTAACTAAATAAAATACTTCTAGGAAATAAGACCATAATTGTACCCCAAGGAAAATAATAATTGAAAACCTATAGAATAATTATCTTAAAATCTTGGATCCGTGAAGGTTCCTGGCTTTGTGCTTAATAAACAGATAATATGACATGACACGGCTACTGACTGGAGGCAATATGAGGGGGAAAACGGTCTTTGACACCAAGTTTTCTGCTAAATGTATGATCTCACATGACCTTGTATTATCACTTAAATTGAAAACCCTGGGAATTACCTTTAACAGATGAGTTTCTGACAAATGGAGCCTTCCTTTTGGCTTATCGTTTTTTTCGTTTTTATTTATTTATTTTTTATTTTATATTTTGGCCTCGTGGCGTGCGGGATCTTAGTTCCTGGACCAGGGATCAAACCCGCGCCCCCTGAAGTGGAAGCGTGGAGTCTTAACCACTGGACCGCCAGGGAAGCCCCCTTTTGGCTTATCTTTGACTGTATTTTACAGTTACCTGTGTATTGTTGTTTTCCACCAAAGACATGCTACTTAAAGTTCAGAGAACTCTCCTGAAATATTTTTTCTTCTCCCTACAATTTACATTGGCCCACGTGTCCCCTCACTGTTCTGGATCTCACTCTACCTTATCACAGGTGAGCACACGAGGGTCTGCCTGGTAGAGGGTCAGAGCTCTCTGAATAGCATGGTCCCCAAGCCCCAGTAAATACTAGATCTGAAAAGGGTAAGGGGGCACCCTCTCTGGTTTTCTTTAGGATCAGCTTGTTACTAGGTTTTGGGTAGACCCGCATGTGCTAATTTTCTTAGCTATGCTTACATTTGTAAAAATGGCATAAAAGAAAAGAAATGAACATAGCAAGGATTGGAAGAACCTGAGTTTCTCACTACCTCTCACCATCCCCCAGTGTTTGTGCTGCCTGCCTATATTTTATGTGGCAAGTGGGCAAAACTGCTCCATGTAGAGATGGAAGATATTTCCCGGTTATAAGATACTTTTCAATATAGGTTGTCAAAGTAAATACTGTAATATCTTTTTCTTATGATATTCCTATGGTAGAGAATGCCAGAAACATTAGGAAAACAAAAATTCACATGTCGATACTAATTGTTTAAAAGTTAAACCTCATTAGAGTATGTTTGCATATTTAAAATGTCTCCGAGGAGGAAGGTAACACGCTGGGAAGGAAGGATGAGGATAAGAACATTATGGAACTTTTGGACTTTATTAATAAAAATGAAATAATTAGGCCTGAGATGGCTTTTCAGTTGTAGGCCTCTCATCCCGTATTTCCCTTTGAATGACTGTCACAATAAGCTACCAGTCACCACACCGTGTGTAATCAGTGTGACATCTGGCTCCATAAGAGGCCACTGTTTCTCCAGCGTTAGCTAAACCAGTGCACTTCCTGTTGCTGGATTAACTGTCAGAGCCACAGGGTCTGATTTCCCTCCTGCTGATTTACAGTCCCTGTCCCGTTCTCTGTCGGCACTTGGATATCATTCCCGCTTTGAAAAAACTTACTCCTTTGACAAATATATACAAAACAGAAAGCTAATGGGGTGACTAATCTATTTGAAGAACCTTCTACATCCTTTTGTGATCGATGATTCCTACTTGGCTTGACACATGTACATTTGGCACCTTTTCCTTGACAAGTAAACCAAGATTGTGTGGTTTTCGTCGTGGCCTATGGTGTAGAAGCGGAGAATGAGGAAGAAAATAATTTGAAGATTTGCAGAGAGAAGGGATTGGATTTCACCCTGTCGTGGAGTCAGTCCATTGGGATAAACCAAGTCACTAATACCAGGCAGAGGAAGTGACCGAATTTTATATTTTGTGTCAGACACAACCTCAAAACAAAGAGGAACCACTCCAAGGACCTGGCCAGATGCAAGCCTGGTAAGTCGCTGCTTAAGATGGAAACTTTCTTGTGAAGCAAAACACCAGCAAGAATATATTTTAGGAAGAAATGTTTGGGTCTTTGAAAAGTTTTATACTTTCTATAACTGTGACTGTGTTAAAATAAGAATTCTGACATGGTGGGAGATGTGATTTGGGGGTATTTTGCTGGGCTGCTTTGGGATACGTTTTCCTTTGGAGGAAGAAGAGTCAGAAAAATATTCTTGGTTTTACCATCTAAAGCTATTCTAGCATAAAGTCAAATTGCCAGAGACTTAGTGTTTGAGGATCTAGGCAGGTTGATGACCTTGAATTGTGCTTTTCTTCAATACATTCTGAAATGTCAACTGGTTGGATGTGTAGAGTTCTCGCTGAACACTCACTGATGGAAGATTTTATTGGAAGACTCAAGTCTATTCTGATTTAAAGAGCTATAGTTCCATAAAAAAAAACAAAAAACAAAACTTTGCTTTTTGCCCTTTATTTAATAATATCTTTAGTGTTAAAGAGACAAAACCATAACCAAAGCAGTTGATGGCAAATACATTATGAAGAAAACCTGTAAACAGTAAAAATGTTAGAATAAGATCGTGTATTTCCAAAGAAAAGCTGAAGATTTAAACTTCAAAAAAACAGAGATAGAAAAGGTAACTTTTTAGTTCTGCTTATCCATAAAAATTGCCACTATTTTTGCAATCACACCTACTAAGATGGCCTTTATATGGTGCTTTTGCCCTCATCAAGCGAGGGGGGAAATACCTAAATGTGAAATCACTGCAGTTTATTAAATGTCAAAGAGGAACTTGTTAACCAGACAAATCAGATAACCAGCTGCTGTGCAGAGCAGTTGCCAGCCATGGGAAATGTCAGCACTCCCTTTAGAGAAAGACAGCTGATGACTACACAAAATGCATAGTTTATAAATAATTAGAAAAAAAAGATTAGAAGGTGTGCCACTCGTGTTAACCTATATGTTCCTCAGAAGAATAAATATTAGAATGTGTCATTAATAACAATGATCAAATATGATTGTGTTAGAAAATGAGAATGTAGACTACATTTCTGCCTAATTCCAGAATCTCAATTAGATACACGGGCAGGATATGAGCAGAGGATTGAGATTTCAAGGACAAGTGTTGGGGGAGGGGAGGCTGTCCAGGGAGTGGTCAAGGCCCCTTTGTGTTTATGAACTGAAAAGACAAGTTTCCCAGGAAGAAGTCTTTGTCAGGAGATGGGATTTTTCCACTTTCTCTCCCGGGAATTTCTCTTCCCTGAAATGAGGGCAGATGGAGACTTCCATCTCCTTTCTGGATGCTCTCTCTCTCTCTGTCTTTGAAAAGGAGGAAATAAAATTCCCAGGAACGGATCCTGGCCAAGAAACCCTAAGGGGATCTATGGGATTCTAAGAGGTGGACCTAAGAAGGCCTATGAGCCCCTGCAACTTGTGCAGAATTGCTGGTTGAAGAACGACTCCTTTGCATGAGTAGCATGTTCGAAGGGAAGAACTCACACAGGTGGAAGAGAGACATGTCTTTGAACTACGCTGCCTTGGAAGTTGGACTTCTACTGCTCCGGCATCTCAGGATATTTAGGAGAAGAGCAGGCCCAGTCCAAGACCCCTGTGCTTTGTGTGCAGTGCCTGTGTAGGAGAGAGAGTAGAAAATGTTTCTTGCCCCGTGTGAACAAGTATGGGTCATCCAGAGAAATCTGAGAACCCTATAACTAGGTTAATCTTGCCCAAGCGGTGGTAGAGAGGGTCCTGACCATGGAAGGAGCCAAGGCTTACTGAGGCATCTCTGACCTCCACCCAGGAGGGGTGAGCGGGAGACTCACGTGGAGACCCAGAACACTGAGCGTTAAGAGCACAGTAAGGACGAGAGGTGCGTGGCTCTGAGGATCAGGGCAAGGACAGAAGTAACGTTGGTGATGAGTTCAGAGCAGAATGGGGCTGGTGGAAAGGAGGGAATCGTGAGAAATGACTCTGAACTGGTTCTGCTCACAGAGCCTGTGCACTGAGGCTGGGTGAGCGGGGCAGGGCCACCGTGGCCTAAAGGTGCTGCAGCACTTGGGCAAACTGGATAAAATCTCATATTATGGACTAAAAGTTACCCTAAGAAATCTTCTATTCCATGTCCCTCATTTCACTCACTTGGAAAGTGAAGCCTAGAGATGAATCCACGATTCCAGAACTAATCATGGCAGAGCCTGGCCAGAACCTGCCCATTGAGTGGTCAGCTGTGCCTTGAGGCTGTCATGACTAATCTCATTGTTCCTTTTCCCTTGTTTACGTCTGTCACCACGAGGAGCCCAGCCCACAGGGCCCTAGTCCCCTCCTGGACTCTATTTACCATGTGGTTCTGCAGAGCCCCTCTTCCCCTGTCTCTCAGTCCTCCCCAACTCCTGGAACCTTCCACAATGCCTCTGCAACTCGCTGCAAGCCATCAGCTTATTTCTTTGTATCCCTCAGCTTTCCTTTCTGGATGGTCCCCTCACTGCCTAACTGAACCCAAGTCTTCCCGGAGGACCCTGCAGCTCCTCAGGTAGCAGGGGGTCGATGTCCTCTCCACCACCCGCCCCCCATTGCTCCTTCCACACCCTTTCCCCCTGTCCTGACATCTCCCAGCCTTAAACCCCATCTCATCAGACTCTGCCACCCACTCCCTCTCATTGTCAGAGTCATCAGCTGGGGTCAAGTGTACTGTAAAGCCTAAAACTTCAAATGCCGCCTTGACGCCTTGGAGCCTCACAGGCCCCAAAGGCCTGATCCTGAGTTGCCCTGCTCTTGCCAGATATGCCTCCCACCCCAGTGGGAATGGCTTCCTGTCAGTTGGGTCAGCTGCGCCCCACGTGGTCCTCAAGCTGACAAGTTCACTTCCCTGAAAAATTACCCAAACAAGCCAATCAGCCCCTCCCACGGAGCACAGGGGCACCACACCCTCTTGTTACTACAAAGCCTGCCCCCAGGCTTCGCTGGTTCACTGTAATCTTGAGAGCAGCCCCCGTGAGACCCTGCATGGCATGCGGTGCCCTCCTCCCCCAGCTGTGAGTGTGTGTGGCTGGTGAACCACTGCCCTCTCCTCTGTCCCGTGTTGAGCATCCTGTGTCCCATGCTATTCAGACAGGGACCCCTCCCTCACCCATGAGTGGATGGAAAGGGATCACAACAGTCAAGTCCCCTCATTTCTGGATCATTTTAGTTCCCGAATCACTATCACTCACTTTTCTCATATTAACTCTTGTTGATTTCAATGTACACATCTGTGATCCTTGCAGTGCCCTGGTCTTCAGGTCCTTTCATTCTTGTTCCCTATAATCTTGTCCTCCACCCTCCGTCAGCCACTCACTTCCACGTCCTTACCTCCCATGACCTTCATCTACGCCTCCCACTTCCCGCCTCCATCCCCTGTCTTTTCAGTTACTCATACAGCACCTTGAGCCCCAAAATCCTTTGACCCCAATGGGACCTTCATTCCATCAACTCTGTCACCTATTCCCTGTCCCTCACCCCCTTTCTTCCCTGTCTGCCCAGTTAAATGGCCAATTGTTACAATCACTCTCTTGTGCACACCCTCATCCCCCCTTGTTTTTGCCTTTTTCATCCTTCTCATTCAACAAACCTGCCTGACCCTGCCCTCATTCTCTCTGTACTGTGTCTGCACAGCTGAGAGTGGCTCACGCACATTCACACTACACATGATATTCAAGACCACCGTCCCCAAGTGGGCCCTGATGCTGCCTTGAGAACATCCTATATTTCCCTGGTCCGTGTGCTCTCCTGCTCACCTAGAGAAATATTTCATGCCTTTTCCTCTCCTAAAACCCCCAACACCTTTTCTCTGTGCTCTGTCTCAGCTGATGGCTTTGTTTTCTACTCACTGAGAAAACTGAGGTCATTGGAAGAGAGCTTCCAAACTCCTGACACATGTCCAGTCAGGAAGCATGTGACCCCATGTTCCTGCCCCTTCACAGGGTGTCCAGGCTCCTGCGGCCAGGGGCCCTCCCTGGGAACTAGACCCTATCGGCATCACTTCTCAAGGACACTCCTCCAGCAATCGGGCCCTTTCTCTACTGGGTCATTCTCACCAGAAAGCAAATAGGTTTTGTTTCTCCCAACTTTAAAAAAACAGCAACTTTTTATTGACGTCATTTTTTCCTCATTATTTCTCTGCTCTCCTTCAAAAAGAAATGTCTCAAGAGTGTTCTCCAATTTTTCTCACCCTATTTCCTCTTGAACCTGCTGTAATCAGATTTTACTCCACTTCAGCAAATCCCTCTGGAAAATGTCAATAATAATAACTTCAAGCACAGCGGTCATCTCTCAGTCCTCATCTTACCTGACACGGTCGATCTCGGTCTTCTCCTGACATTCCTTCTTCCTTCACCTTGAACTGCGTGTGCTCTTCTGGTTTTCCTTCTATCTCACTGGTAGCTCTCAGTCTTTGGCTGTTTCCCCTCCGACGTTTTTACTGTGGAGCTCCCAGGGTCCTGGGCCTTGGACTCATCTCCTGTTGGAATGCTCTCTCTTTGGGTGATCCAATCCAGTCTCAGGGCTTCAAATACCAGTCATATGACGACAACTCCCAGATTTACACATCCAGCTGGGACCTTGACCTTGAGACTCACGGCCAACACTTACCCAGCATCTCACTTCAATGCTGTAGCAGAGTCTAATCAGAAGGGCAGGACCACTATGAGTGATAGGAAATTGGCGGGGGGGGGGGGGGATTCATTGCAGGGATTCGAATTTCTGCAGTTGTGGAGTTGCTGAAGGGTCTGTGAAGAGCTGTTGACTCTTCCCTGGGGGCCTTCAGGTGCCATAGGTCAGCTGTACCTGCAGTTGGGAGGAAGAGCTGGACCTGGAGTAGGAGGGAGCCGGATGACTGGGGCCACATCTGCCTCTCGCTATCTCTGACCTGGACCACATGTCGGCCTGCACCCCGGCCCCGAGGTCAGCAGAGCTGGGGAGGGGTGGGGCTAGGGAGGCTGCAGGATCTGCTACC